CCCAATATATCTTGTGCCTATAATGAGACTATTCACTTCTCCATTACCTTGATTAACACCTGATGAAAGACGTACATCTCTGGGGTGTTCTTTTACAAGTTCTGATTTTTGTTTTTGTTTTTTAGAGCGTATGTGTAATATGAAAAACGAGAAACGTAAAAATAAAATAACTATCGTGACCCCTTTTTGTAAAACTTAACTCTTCAATAAAAATACTTTAATCATACTTTTATTTTTCTTTCCATCAAACATTAAAACTTATAAATAAATAATATATCAAATAAACATATTTCCCCAATTCAAATAATTACAACAAAATAAAATAATTAATAATTAATAAATATATAATATATAAAATAAAATAATCAAATGCAATAAAAATACATATTTTTTTCCAAATATTTATTTTTAAAAAATATCATAAAAATACACATTTCTCTAATGAATATTATACAAAATAATTTTTACAAATATTTATTATTTAATTAAAACACTCATAATTATTAAAAGTTTATAAAATGTTTTTTTAGACATGTTTAATATTTGAATGGTAAAAAATATATTTAATATTTTAAACATTTAATATGGTGCAGTAAAATTTTAATATTTTAACATTTAATTTGGTACACTAAATATTTAATAAATTTTTTAAAATATAAAAACCTATTCAATATTTTAAAAATAGAAAATACTACGTATTTTTTTTACAATGCATTAAATATTTCTTAAGTCAATATTCAAGTTTTTTCTATTCACAAAACTTTAAATAAAAAAAAATCAATTTACTTACCACTTAAATGAACACAAATTTATTTTTATCAGTAAAACTCACCTAAAATCTTATGAGTACTACTTCAATCTTCCATCACTAAATTGATTATAGTTTTAATAATCATATAATATTATTAACTACTCATAAAAAAATTATTCATTAATAAATATTTTAATAATCTAATAATGCTATTAATCATATCTCTATATTTGTATATAATAATTAAATTGCTAACCACTTATGTAATAAAATTAATTATATTTATCCAGACAATTAATCATAATAATCAATAATTTTATAATATATTATTTAAGTAAAATTTCAATTGGAAGAATGCTATCATATTGTAGTTAATTCTTATCCATGTCTTTTTCCCTCTTAAACAACCAACAATCAACCACCAATTTCATAAACGAGAAAAGTAATTAAGGACGTTTGTTTCATAATTCATAGTATGATTTTGTATTCGTATGAATAAGATCCCTAAGAATATTATAGGTTAGAATGTCATTCCTAGCTCTAGGTATACTTAAAAAAATAGAGCCTCACTCAGTTTATCGAGTCTGAACAAAGCAAAAGTACGACTAGTTTACTAGAAGAGTACACGTAATTCTTATTCGAACCCGTATTTGATACTTTGCTATGATTAATATTATATCTAACGCTTATTATACTTCATATCTCATACGTATTTGGGTATAAAGCTCATGTTGTAGTATTAATTTTTCGACGTTCATCTTTGCCTCTCTTCCATTTTGCTTGGGTTAGATTTTAATATTCATAATAATATTTTTTTAAATTCAAAACAATTTAAATAAAAATAAATAAATATAGAACTTATAAATGTTTTTGAAAGCAAATTCTCGTAAAATCATTAAGATCGGTATAATAGTAGAAATTATAGAATAAAATCTTAAATTCTAAACTTGGTGTTATATATCATTATAATTTTGATGAATAAAAAAAATTTACTCCATTATTTGCATAGAAATGTCACTTCTTCATCCTTCTGAAAACGAAACTCCTTAATCACGTGAATGTAATTTTTCTGGAAATAAAACATACCCATGAATCTTGTTGCATAACTTTCTAAGACATATCAGAATAAAGTATAATGTTCATTAATAGAGAAAGATGACATCAAACAAACTTTTCTAAAAATTTATCCCAAGACGTAGTACAATAAAAATCGACCCAATCTCTGTCACTAGCAAATTGAGTAAATCACGAAGTATTATGACTGACATAATGGGTTGTGACATGTAATAATATGTACAACATTTGAAGTCTAAATCTTGTTATTATTATTGCAATTTTGTGTATTAATAAAAAAATTGAACACATCATGAACAGAATAAGTGGAAATTAAGAAAAACACGGGACATGGTTTCAGACAAAGAGAATAATAGGATAAACAAATGGGAAAAATTTGATTACTTTTAATTTTATAATTTATTTTTCACTGTGAAATATTGACATCTAATTTTATTGTTTATATATTTTATTTTATTATTTGATTTAAATATAATTTTAATCACCTTAAAATAAATAAATTTTAATTTTAGACTATCGTTTTTCTTGTCTATACTTTTACTTTTTGTTCTTATTGAATAAAAATCAAAATATTTTATATAAATCTATATTAAAATATACTCATTCTTTTATCAACTAAGGGCATATATAAATAAAGTTATCCAAAAACACTTTTTTGGAAAAAAAAAGATGATAAGAAAAATTAAAATAATTTTTTTATCAGTTAAAACTAACTTATGTATGAATTAAAAGATAAATTTTTTGGAGAAGTTAATAAATTTTTTTTACAAATTAATTTATATATAAAAATTTTAGTTTACAAAAAAAAATTATTTAATATTTTTTTTCATATTTTTCTTTCTTAAAAGTGTTTTTTTATTTATTTATAAATTTATCCAAACATACCATTAAAAATATATTTAAGTTATACACATTTTTTCTTCTTATTTTTCATCTTAAATTCTACTGAACTAAACAAGTATCTTTCAAATACTTTCCCTTCACAAGATATTAATGAAGCCACAATAACATGTTAACCAAATATCAAGTAAGGATATTCGGTTTAGATATAAAGTCCCTGAGGTTTCACTTTACTCTCTACAAACTGATGGAAAAAAGTTATATGTTTGTATTCAATAAAATAAAATAAATAAACCATGTAAGGACAATACAATAATAACGCATCACAATTTACGGCTAGGCTCTTCACCGAATTAAATAATTAACCAAAATAATCATGAACAATTTCAGGTGCAAACATAAGAATGACTATTAACCAAAATAATAACCAGAATATCCAAACCCTAAAATAATCATGAAACAATATTAATGTATAAGAGTAAATAACCCACCCACAGAACCCAAGTCTTAAAACCAACTTGTCGAGGTAAAAGCAGAGACAAAGAGAACAAACAAAGGTGTAAGTAAATTGTGGGTTCATGGTGTTGGCTCATAGGCTCATGTCATGTGTATGCATCTTCATTCAAGCAATCCAACAAAAATAATTACATACAAACAGTCTCGAAATTTTGGTGTCAACCATTTTTGGAGAAATAATCTTCTCAACAGGCAAAAGATCCCACCAGAACTTTTTTGTTTTTTCCCCTTGTCAAGACTCAAGAACAATTGCTATCGACCTAAATGTATCTTATTTTTTACGTGGTCTATCGCAATCTATGCAACAAAAATGGGCCACAAGTATACATGAATGATCCATAATCTAAGTTGTGAGCCCACATGTAAGATTGACCCTTCATACTATTGCAATCAATGCGCGAAACATAATGGGCCCAATTGGTTGCATGCGGCGAGACAATAGGACCGTTTTTCAATTAATACTCCATAGTCCATACCTTCTCACTTCACTAACGTAGCCCTTACAATGGAAGTGGACCAACCCTAGTCAACCCTTAGATTGGACACCTTTATATATAACAATAAGACAAAATTTAGTTACAATATATTACATGTTTTTAGTTCTTTTACAAATAAAATTAACGTTTCACCTTAATAGACGACACTAGTTTTTAGTATTAACTTTTATTTCATGAATTATTGAGGTGAAATTTTAGATTTAACTAAAAGCAACATAAGAAAACACTTTAGATATTACACTTGAAATCTATTTTTAGAATAATTTGTACATACTGATTTTATAATTTTTACATTCATGTAAATTTTAATTTTCATATTACACTTTAGATATGACAACCATCGAACATTCATCAGCAAACCAGTTTCACTAAATTATAGAGGCATGAATTAGATAAATCTGGACTAGCATGATCCATGCACACACATCAGAGCAACATTAAGCTTCAGCCATCAAACCAGGCTAAATGCACACCATTAACCAACTACTATATAACCAGTCCATGCTCCAACAACATAGACCATCCATCAAAGAACAAAACCTTTCATCTACTTGTATGTGTTTTTCATTTTCTATTAAAACAAAGAAACACAACATTAATTTCAAAGACTAGGCTTAAGTCTCCTAGTCTGAAAAAATTAAATAATTCTAAGTTATCTTATAACATCTTTGTAAAATTTATCTTAATTACTAAATACAAATATTTAATATTTTTTATGTTTTAAATTATGTATTTTAAATTAGTAGAAAGATTATCAAAATATAATTACTCTAAAAAAAAATTGGTTAAGTAACCAACCGAGTCTTGCCACACATGTTTGTACAATCAAGTTAGAGGTTCAACTTGCATCTAGCCATTGGAAAGTTGAAGGGTGATTTCAGATTATTGGAAATATGATTATATAAGAATTAGTTAGTGGAATTATTGTTATTTTTTTTGTCTATGTAAGGTTTGATGTAATATTTTGCACACTATCATTGTAAACATGCTTCCACTGGTTAATTAAATGAGATGACTGACTGAATGTGATGAACTCACGAAGTTTGAACCGAGTTATGGGGCGACTTTTAAGTAAGCAACACATGATGAAGATCTATATATATATATGCCTTTCTGAGCTACAAAAGAACAAAACTAGTAAATGGTACGTTTGCAATGATTGGTCCCTGGTTTGTTTTTTCTTCCATAACTTGAAAGAGATACACCTTGGTATATTAAACAACACTTATGTCACTTTCCTTTTCCTTTATGAAAATTACGAGCCAGTAAAAATTCAACGCAAACCCAATAATATGTACTCACGACTTAATCATCAAATTAAAAGATATGGTTTCAAAATATATATATTATAATCAATAAAGGTGATAGAATAATAATGTACAAATCATTCCTAGGCCAAAAAAACTGCAGCATTTCTGCAATGCTGTCCAACTTCTCTGTCTATATTTAATTTATTGATCCTAATATACGGAACTTTGTCAGTTTTTCTAGTTGATCATCCCTAGACTCAGTTGTGTATTGGAGGCTTTCTCTTTGCTGGAGAATAGTCCATCTCAGTTATCTCTACAAGGTCATGGTAGTGTTCCTCAGGAACATCTTTGTGCTTTGAAGTGCTCAATGTGTTCACATTTCTAGCATTGCGATTTACCGAGGGTTCACCCTTGAACTCCTCCTTCTTCACATTCTGTCCATAGAATAAATACATATTATATCAAAAGAGGAAAAAAAAATCCAAAGTTTACTTTTAAGTTGAGACGTACAATAGAATATA